ATGAGTATCACGCCTACATTTCGCGCGGAACCCACCCGTGGCTGGCGAGGACGGACGTGTGGGTTAGCGATTCGAATCTCACACCTTCGTGACATACGTTAACATCACGTTCGCAGCCACTTCCTTAAATTAAACGACGTGCCACTTACTTCTTGTCGACGTTCTCGTTCGAGCACAACGAACGCGTGGTGCGGTACGTGGCTTCGACTAATTTCCTAACTGATTCTAAACTATGTTGTTTTCTTTTTGTATATTTTGGAAATTCTTGTCATTGTAGGTTCTTCAATCAATTCATTTTTTAACGAGAATATCGTGACATTTTGAACTTTTAAATAGTATTGAAGATAAAGAATACACGATAAGCTTTAAGATAGAAAAAATCAATGATAATATATGTAATAGAATTTAAATTTACTTCAAATGGCCTTTGTCCATTGATAGTATTGTAATTTGCAATTTGCTTTTAAAAATACAACTACATTAAATGTTAAACCAATATAAACGGTAAAAAATGTAACTAAAGTGGCCAGAGAGAGAGAGAGAACGCGATTAGGAGAACATCTGGTAGAATTCCCGAACACCCTGTATATTTGATGGATCTCGAAGTCGAGTATCCAGCGTGAGCAGAAAATTATTGCGTTACAGGGGACTCCAGGCACGAACGCTGAACACACGTGCGTTGAAGTCATCGGCGCAGCGGCATCGCGGGATATATACTTCGCCGTACGTCTCTGGACCCAGACGCGAACCCCATTGCGCGATAATTGAAGTCACGCTTCGTGGGAAGCGCGGCCTTCGCAGATAGAAATGCCGTCGCACAAAGGGTTAGACAAAGGGCGTTGCTTGCGAGCGTTTCGTCGGTATGACTCCGTATGCCGCCTTCACAACCCCGCCGTGATCTTCGGGGACCGGGCAAAAAGCTGTCGACGTGGACGAAGCCCGATGATGCCGTCCGTGCGACGAAAAAGAGGACAGTTTTGGTCCGTAAGAGAGCGCGGGGGAGAAGTGGCCCGAGAAGGACCTGGGCCGGCCCCGGAGAGCCCACGAAGACGGTATACGCGAGACTTCAGAAAGGAACGAGCTCCGAAAGCGGAACAAAAACGTCCGAACTGCAGAGTCGGCGATTCCCGAAGAGTCGTGGATCCCATAGCGAATGATATGGAGGTGGGAGGAGAAAAAGATACGACGAGAGGAAAGGAAGAGAAATAGAGACAGTGAAAGAACGAGAGATGCTATTTATTACATTATTACATGTATCGAGACTGAGTTTTTAAGAAGCGTTGGAGAATCATAATTTATATATTATAAATAATCAGTAACATTAAAGAGAATGTACGTTTTATATATTAATCCGAATCGTTAAAATCACATAATTTTTTGAGAGACCGTTGTAAAATAATTTTTATCAAAAATTTCATTTTTTATTGATTATCATAAATCAGTACTTGCTCATACATTTAAATATGTCAATTTATTTTATTTATGATTTTCACATTTGATTTAAAGAGGACAAAATCTGTGAAAGACAGTTAAAAATATAATCTCAAACTACAACTCGATGCCCATTTAAAGGGAATTGGACAAAAAGATTCGTTTATATTTATCCAATTTTTCTGTAGCTGACCTCTACAAACTTTTTTCAAGCCAAGAGAAACCAACTCTTTGTTTGTTACCTTGACAGCAACATCGATTGGAACTTCACCATAATAGCAAAAGGCGGTACATGAAGTACAATATAAAAGAATCATGTTTCTCGAAAGCAACATTACCAAATAAAAAGATTAAATTTAAGAAGAAGAGAGATAAACGTATATACAGACGAAGACGGAGAGAAGCCAAGGGCGACGGTAGGCGGCTTGAGAGAAATGGAGGGAGAGGGGAAGGACAGAGAGGAAAGGATCTTTAGAAATAAAGCGGCGTTGACGTACACCGGGGGTAGAGATGGGACCGACGCCAGCGGTCCTAAGGCCCTGGCGCGAGCGCGAGCGCACAGGTAAGGGCTGCGCTCGCTCATCCGAGATCAAGTTTTTCTCTCAAGTCTTCGAACTACCGGGAGAGAGAGGAGAGATAAAGAGAAAGAGAGAGAGAGCCAGAGGCCTGAACTCGAATCCGAGTTGATTTCCTGGCACGCGGTTCATCTTGTCGTTTATTCCTCTCCCGCTCTCTCTTTTGCTTTCTCTCTCTCTCTCTCTCTCTCTCTCTCTCTCTCTTCCTTTCTCTCCCGTTACAACTGTCTCTTCTTCCTCGTTTCTCGCCATCCACCGTTTCCCTGCCCTCCAATTCCAGGATGTGGCAGGAGCGCAAATGGAATATTGGTACCACGTGAATATCGATTTTCAATTTCAAAAAATTTCCTAAAGATTTTCTAGGTATAATATTCCTTTATGTAAAGTGAAAACGGAATAGTCGGGCTTGCGGTTAATCCTTAAATCCACGACTCCTCTAAACCCAGATTTACGAAAATTTAAATAGCAGAAGAAAATGAGATCGATAAATTTAAATCGAATTTTGTAAAGCGAAGGTTTAAAAGATTCAAAAATTCCTCTCATGCATTCAAGAATTAAAGGTGAAGAATTCATTGCAAAATAGGTTAATATAATTTAATTGGTGTGCACGATAAGATAGATAAAACAGATACCTTAATAAATTTCTGTAATGTAATGCACGATTGATAGATTAAAATTGTGATTTTATTTTAATATTATTTAAGATGTTAAATAAATATTTCAATTTTTATCACCCAAATCATTTTTAAAAACAAGATATATAGTTCTGTCTCAGGCAGCTGCTTTCCTAAGCTAATTAGATAAGAATTTCTTGTCCGTTTCTTTCCCCCTCTCTCCTCCCCCTCACAACACACACACAATTATTAACTATCACAATACCTCGACCTCTTCGATAAAGAATCGACAAATTGCTTTAAAATTCTATCACTATAAAGACAAGATTGCAAATTGTGAGACACCCTGTACAAGTGCAGAGTAAAAAAGCTCGAATTAATTAGGATATGCTTCGTTCTAATAAAACGAGACCAGACGGCGACGGTGGTAGCGGTGGCGGTGGCGGCGCGGTGTGGTGCTTTCGTATAAATTTGAAACGCGCCCTGTAATTTGAGAAAACGTCCCGGGTCCTAAGCCCTATTTATGCAGCACTGAACCGGCTGTAAACCGTTCGTATTCACGATCCCCCTCCTCCCCCCCTCCCTCCCCCTACCAC